AACTCGTTAGCATAACTCATTAGCATATGCCACACCCCCTGACATCAGGGGCCCGGCGGTGGACCTGCAAGGCCGGCAGGAGAGCGAGGAAGCCCCGCGAAGGCCCTCCCTGGCCCCAGGCAGGCAGGGGTGGGGAGAGGCGGGGAGAAAGCAACTTACCCTCCCTCTTCTCCTGCCTCCTCCTGGCTGAATGAGGGCTGGAAGCGGGGCGGCCGGAAGCGGGGAGTGGGGCTTCGTCATGTGCCCCGCCCCCCGTACCTCACCCAGGGGAACTTCGTTCCCCCGCAATCCCCCCCGAAATGACCTCTGGTTTTATTTTTGATGAAGGGAGCTTGGATTTTTGAAAGCTTATACCCCGAAAACCTTGTTGATCTCTATGGTGTTACTGGACTTGAATCCAGCTGGCCGTTCCTCTTTGGTTTCTTTTTCAATGCATCCTTTTGTAACTTCAGCCCTTGCCGTTGTTTCGTGTTACAAGCCACAGGGTGGCACCGGAGCAGGAGAGCACGGAAGACATTGCCTCCCTCTGGGCGTCTACAGAGTGAAATTCTGACGTTTTGCTGGAACTCCCTTTTTAAAAAAATAGCTTTTTAAATAATTGTGGTCATTTTAAATTAAACAAGGGGGAAAGGGAGATGTAGATATTATAATAATATATGACTTATTCATAACAAGGACGATCAACTGATGATATAGAGCATTTAACGTAAACCTTTAAAATACATAGTATTGGGATGGGTTTTACATACTATATACATTTATTTCCTGTTATCGTAATACCGCCGGTCAATACGAGTGTGGTCGCCGGAAGTAACGAAGCCGTACTGGAATGTGTACCCAATGGCAGGTAATGTTAAAAAAATAACAACAATAATAATCCTACCCAGATACCATTAGTTACTATTAATATTAACTGTTCGTTAGACATTGATTATTACATTACATGTTTCATTACATCTTAATGCCGCTATGGTTGTTGTAATCATCCTGTAATCAAAAAGTACATTTTAGGAGCATTTCTAAAAATAAAAAGGATAACAATAAAGTAGGTTCATATATGTGTCAAAAGCCATTTTATGGTCTTGAATATAGCATTGAGAATTCTTTGTAAAGACCATGCCAACCTGAAACAGGAGGAAGGACAATCTGTATAATTCCAAGGGACAAGACACAGGACGGAGTGCCCCGTTAGCTGTCTCTTAGACATGGAGAATATGGGGTTAGTCTGTCAAACTTTGCTACTGGGTTAATATGCAGGTTGTTTCCAGGGAGGAACAAAAGAAAAAGAAAACCAAACAGAAAAAGAAAACCAAAGTCCGTATACCTTGGAGGCTCGGGGAAGGCCCGTATCTACGCAATTAGTAGCTAATAATTCCCTTATCAAATTGTATTAGATTTCAAAATGAGATCAGATGATGTTGCTAAGCCATTGATGAGATAAATTGGAAGGGGAAGGTTTACTCAGCTCCCACAGAAGAGTTTGGATAACAGAACTCAAGCACAGGTCTTTTAAGCACCTCAATGATGTCGAGTGAATCCAGGGAACATGAACATTTCTCTTACGGCCATGAAAACAGTCGTTGGTGCGGGAAGGGAATGTCATCCCGGAACAGATAAAGAGCTGAAATGTTCAGGGAGTGCTAGGAAGGCCAGTTGATTGTCTCTTCCCTGGCGAGCAAGGGAAACCTTTCCCTTTACCTAGTATTACCTATAACAACTAATTTGGAACTTCCCTTCCTGCTAATAGGACAAAAGTAATGGAACACGGGACTACATTGACTGTTACTACTGAGCCAGGCCTGTAACACTGTGTGGTGTAGCCATGAAGAGTATCAAGACTAGTACCGGGAAGAGTCAGATGCAAATCCCCACTGGTGTCATGGAAGCTCGCTGGGTGACCTTGGGCCAGTCCCGCTCTCTCATCCTAATCTACCTCACGGGATTGTTGTGACGATAGAACGGAGGAGAGGAGAATGATATAAGCCGCTTTGGGTCCCCTCACTGAGGAGGAACACAAGGAATCAATGAATGCATGAATGAATGAATGAATGAATGAATGCATTAATGCATTAATGAATTGTAATTGTTTTCCTTCTGTTTGTAGGTGCTGGTGCTTCTTCCTCCACCATCCTAGCTCCTGTTATCGTAATACCGCCGGTCAATACTAGTGTGGTCGCTGGAAGTAACGAAGCGTTACTGGAATGTGTAGCCAATGGCAGGTAATGTTAAAAAATAACAATAATAATAATCCCACCCAGGTGAGAATTCTTTGTAAAGACCATGCCAACCTGTAACAGAAGGACGGACAATCTGTATAATTCCAAGGGGCAAGACACAGGACGGAGTGCCCCGTTAGTGGTCTCTTAGATGTGGACAATATGGGGTCAGTCTGTCAAACTTTGTTACTGGGTTAATATGCAGGTTGTTTCCAGGGAGGAACAAAACAAAGTTATTTGTACAGAAAAAGAAAACCAAAGTCCGTATACCTTGGAGGCTCGGGGAAGGCCCGCATCTACGCAATTAGTAGCTAATAATTCCCTTATCAAATTGTATTAGATTTCTAAATGAGATCAGATGATGTTGCTAAGCCGTTGATGAGATAAATTGGAAGGGGAAGGTTTGCTCAGCTCCCACAGAAGAGTTTGGATAACAGAACTCAAGCACAGGTCTTTGAAGCCCCTCAGTGTTGTCGAGTGAATCCATGGACGTTTCTCTTACGGCCATGAAAACAGTCGTTGGTGTGGGAAGGGAGTGTCATCCTGGAACAGATAAAGAGCTGAAATGTTCAGGGAGTGCTAGGAAGGCCAGTTGATTGTCTCTTCCCTGGGAAAACAGTCAGGACCAGTCTCGGGCCCATAGCTACAGTGGGGCATTTCGGGGCCCTGCACCCTTAAGTTTTTTAATTGTACTTTTACCAATTCCTTTGTATTTTATATATTGTATTTTTATTAAATCTGATGTAACCCACCCTGAGCCTGCCACGCGGGGAGGGCGGGATGGAAGTCGAAATAAATAAATACATGCATAAATACATAAATAAAGCTCTTGCCCTCAGGTTTCCCTCTCCCGCCCACTGTAGGATTGGGGGAGGGCATCGTGGGATCTGGGAAAAGACAGCTCACAGGGCATGTAGATGCCTTCAGAAGTTCCCTTCCACAGGGCCTTGGCCCTACCTGGTGGAATGAGCTCCCATACGAGATCAGGGCCCCGCGGAACCTTTTGCAGTTCCGCAGGGCCTGCAAGACGGAGCTCTTCCACCAGGCTTTCAACTAGAGTGACGGACGCCCCTTCCTCTTTTCTGGGTCTCCCCGCAGTGGGTCAGAACTGCTTACCAGAGATGGCATCTGTGAAGCTTAATTCTAATGACAACTGCACTGGCTGAAGGATAGAGTTGTAATTTATCAGTTTTTTAATTGTACTTTTACCAATTCCTTTGTATTTTATATATTGTATTTTTATTAAATCTGATGTAACCCACCCTGAGCCTGCCACGCGGGGAGGGCGGGATGGAAGTCGAAATAAATAAATACATGCATAAATACATAAATAAAGCTTTCTGATTAATTTAATTAACTGCCCCCTTAAAAATTTAAATGCCTCCCGAACAAAAAGAATTGTGGCTACGGGCCTAGCCCATCCTATCTGCACACCTGAATTATAATAAAAGCACCAATGTACAGCTGAGACCCAGAGTCATGGTTTATTCCTCCCCCCCCCTTTGCTGAGGCCGACCAAATAATTAGCGCTTCAAAGCTCCATTGCTATAACAATTAGAGATGCCCATTGGACGGCACTTTAGCCGTCCCCTTGCTTTCGGAGCATAGCTGCTTTAAGACCCCAGAGCCGCATCTGGATTTATTTCTAAGTGCCCGACGTTCGATACGCCCGCAGCCCTGGAAGAGTTAGGTGAGTCATATGTTCAGGGTGTTATTACTGGAGATAACATAATTCACAGTAATAATTGGCGTGACTTTTACCCTCGCAGGCCCACTGAGAAATTAAGCATCGCCTGGAAGAGAAATGGAGTCAAACTAAGCAGTGGAGTTAGCAGTTTTGGGAGACGCCTCGCCATCGCCAACCCAACCTCTGCTGACATTGGAATGTACGTCTGCGAGGCGCAGTTGAGAGAGAGTGCAGCGGAGCCGGAGAGAGCCAAAGCTTTCCTGTCTATCCTGGGTAATGCCGCTTTATTTTATTTTGTAAAAAACCGGGCCTTGAACGGGAAGTACAATAGGAAAGAGGAATGGGGATTTTAATATTTCGCTGACCTTACGGTTGCACCTCTCCCCGGTGAACGGAAACAAAAGAGGTGACCGAGGGTTATCTCTGCAATTAATTCAGCCGCTCCTCTTTGTTGACTGGAAATTCATCAAGGATATTCTTTTCCTTTTTAACATTGATGTTATACTGAATGCAATTGTGAGTCTTGAAACATGATCATGGCAACAAAAGAAACATACCAGGTAAAATACGCATTGAGGTGCTTGTCGTGACTTGGTTTTGAGCAGTAGTTTAAAGGGTTGAATAACCGCCAGCTCGTTCCAGGAGGAACTTTTAGGAAAGTATCGGTCTGCCAACGTATCTGATTCTGAACTTGGCCTTAGAGTAAGGATCAAAAAATTTGTTCAGTGGAGCCAGAACAGAATCGGGAGATGTTTCTCTAACCCCACGGGAATTCCCAGGTTTACCAGAAAACGCCCAAAACTTTTTTAAAAAACCCTCTGGAAGGTGGGTTTAAAAAAATCCAAACTGAGGAGTAATTTATATGCAAGCAAAACAACAACTGCAACAAAATCACTCAAATTTAAAGAAAAATGTTGCCAAACAAGATCATGCTCAGTCTGGGGTAAGTGATGTTGGGGGGGGGCAACAGTGGGAGGCCTTCTGGTGTCCTGGCCCCACTGCTGGACCTCCTGACGGCACCTGGTATTTTTGGCCGCCGTATGACACAGAGTGTTGGACTGGATGGGCCACTGGCCTGATCCAACATGGCTTCTCTTACGTCCTTATGTCTGGGGCAGTGATGCTCTGTCTTTTTGGTGCTTGGAGGGCAACATTGGGGGGCTTGTAGAGTGCTATCCCCACTGCTGGACCTCCTGATGGCACCTGGTATTTTTGGCCACCTTGTGACACAGAGTGTTGGACTGGATGGGCCACTGGCCTGATCCAACATTGGCTTCTTTTAGGTTCTCTTAGGTTCTTATGTCATATCTCATTGGCAACGTGTCCAGAGGTGGCTTGGAGAAGAAAGCATGGCGGGCACACTTCCCTCTGCAAGCCCCCCCCGCCCCAATGATCAACTGGCCAGGAAAGAAGGAAAGGGAAGGCCTTGGGGCAGAAGCCAAACAGAGCAAACCTCCTTTCTTGAGCCCTGCAACCCCCATCACCTTGTTTTCGAGAGGAGGCTTGGGCTATGAGCAGTCCCGTAGCTACGGGGGGCATCTCGGGGCCTGGCCCCCTGACTTACTGCCAAGGGCCCCCACTTTCCATCCAGCCCAGGTGCAGCGATGTATGCTTATTTAAAGCCCCCCCCCCCAATTTAAAAATCCTGGCTACAGGCCTGGCTATGAGTTGGGCCACGAATGTCCTCTGCCCCGAGCCACCACTCATCACAGTGGAGGGAGGGAGAATGGGCTGCCCCGTACCCTGCAAGTTGTCACCTTCCACTAGCAAACACTGGTCTGGCCCCTTAAGAGAAATGTTGGAGCCCTTGAGCCAGAGAGTGCCGTAAGCCCCTTCCTGTCTTCTCTCCGTGTGTGCAGTGCCAGAGCATCATGTTTGACATCCTTGCAGGTGGTCTTTTAGTGGGAGGCAATGTTCCCTCTAAGCTGTGGAGTCTTGTGAGCAAAAATTCTACTTTGTGAGCTACTGGCATTAAAGTTGTGAGCGAGCCATTTGCCTGCTGCATAAATTAGCTTGCTCTAGAGCCATGTTTCCTGAGCTAAGACAAAAATGTGTGAGCCAGAGGCTAAAAAACTGTGAGCTAGCTCACACTAACTCAGCTTAGAGGGAACAGTGGCTGGGAGGATGTGGGTGCAGCATGTCTCCGGGGTCTCCTATGGCTGGCTGTTAACCAATGCACCCTCTAAGCTGTGGAGTCTCGTGAGCAAAAATCCTACTTTGTGAGCTGCTGGCATGAAAGTTGTGAGCGAGCGGTTTGGCTGCTGCATAAATTAGTTTGCTCTGGAGCCGTCCTTCCTGAGCGAAGACAAAAATGTGTGAGCCGGAGGCTAAAAAAACCTGTGAGCTGGCTCACACTCACTCAGCTTAGAGGGAACCCTGCTATTAACCATGATCCATGGATGGGATCTCTGGGTTCAGAGGGGAGGGCTGTTGTCGGTGAGCCCTGCTTTGCGGTTCCCTTCTGGCAGCTGGCTGACCACTGCTGGAAACAGGATGCTGGGCAAGGAGAAACATTGGCCTGATCCAGCAGAGCTACTCTTCTGTTCTGATGAGTATCAGCATTTCTTTGGAAAGTGACCAAGAAGCCCTGGACAGACATCCACATCAATGCTCCCTCTAAGCTGTGGAGTCTTGTGAGCAAAAATTCTACTTTGTGAGCTTCTGGCACGTCTTAACCACTTGAGCCACCGCAGCTCCTTCCAATGGGTATAGAATTCACCGAAATACCTCACAATGGAAATAATCTCCTGTCAGTTCTGCATCTGCCAAACAGAGCAATGGTTGCCCAAAGTACTCTGAATCTACCTTCAGATCAGTCCACTGAACTACTGACTATCCCAAAGGGCTGTAGCCAATGCTCCCTCTAAGCTGTGGAGTCCTGTGAGCAAAAATTCTACTTTATGAGCTACTAGCATTAAACCTGTGAGTGAGTGATTTGGCTATTGCATAAATTAGTTTGCTCTGGAGCAATCCTTCCTGAGCTAAGATGAAAATGTGTGAGCCGGAGGCTAAAAAACTGTGAGCCAGCTCACTCTAATTCAGCTTAGAGGAAACACTGATCCACATTGGTTTCGCTAGGCCTTTTCCAGTGTAAGAACGTTCTACCATTCTCCAGTGTCCACAGATCTTAGCAGCCAGATTGGGCTTCTATCATCTGTTGAAGCATGTTGTTGTTTTAATGCTGGTAATTTTACTGATTTAATGCTGGTGATGTTATTGATTTTAATGGATCATTATATTATCCTTTAATTGTAAATCCACATTAGTTGGAGACCTGTATGTTGGTACCTGCCCTGAGCCTACATTGTGGGGATGGCGGGATATAAGACTAATAAATTAAAAATAAATAAAATATAAATAATGGTGGACTCTGGCCCCACTGGGGGACCTCCTGATGGAACCTTGTTCTTGGCCACTGTGTGACACAGAGGTTTGGACTGGATAGGCCACTGGCATAGGATTGCCAAGTCCCCGCTGTATGTACAGCGGGGGACTCCAGCTCAGTTCCGGGAGCGCACGCATGCCCCGCTACCACATCACCCGGAATTAACGCGGCTGCATTGGGCATGCTGGGGGCGGGGCCGCGGTCATCCAAGGGATTTTCCCTCGGATGACCACGGCCCTGCCCCGGCGCGTCCGGTGCGGCTGCGTCACTTCTGGGCACGTCACATGCTTTGGGGGTGGGGTTCCCCCGGGGCCCGATCCGCCGCCGGGTAACTCGTTAGCATATTAGGCCACACCCCTGACAGCACAGCACATTAACATATTAGGCTACACCCCCATGTTACCAGAAGTGTGGCCATGCCCGGCAGGGCTCTTTTTGTAGCAGGAACTCCTTTGCATATTAGGCCACACCCCCCCTAATGTAGCCAATCCTCCAAGAGCTTACAGAGCTCTTCTTACAGAGGCTACTGTAAGCTCTTGGAGGATTGGCTACATTAGGGGTGTGTCGCTTAATATGCAAATGAGTACCTGCTACAAAAAGAGCCCTGCGGATCCAGCCACACCCACCTTTTGCTTCTTATTCTGTTTACCTTGTTTGTGGTCCAAACCCAGGGCTTTTTGCATGTTAGGCCACACACCCCTAATGTAGTCAATCCTAATGAGTTTCTGCTGTTGGGTGTGGCCTATTATGCTAATAAGTTCGTGCTGGGCGTGGCCAACTTGGGAGCCAGCCGGAACTCTGTTCCTGTGCGTTCCTGCCCAAAAATAGCCCTGCAGCTGCAGACGTCTCAGAGCCTTGATTTCTCACTGGTGTGGACATGATGAACAAAATACCATTTCTGTACTGTGGACTCGGTGTTCCCCCAATTTCCGAGTGGCTTCAGAATAAGAAGGCCCGTAAGAGTATAAGAATAAGAGCCAGTCTGGTGTCGTGGTGAAGTGCGTGGACTCTAATCTGGGAGAACCGGGTTTGATTCCCCCACTCCTCCACATGAGAAGTTATGGGATGCCGCTGCCTGATAGCTGGTGCCTTCTCTTACACCAAAGCGAGAATTAAGATTCGCTCATGGAAGTAGGGGCACCCCCGACGTGATGACGTCGCATTGGGGACGTCCCCCCCCCCCCACCCGCCTGTGCGCAGGATTTCCAGAAACAGCAGTTCCCTGCACTTGAAGGAGCCGGCGTTTCTCTCTTGGATGCAGGAGCCGGCGTTTCCCCTTTCAGAACAGCCGCGTTTCCCTTTTGAGAGCTGGAAGCTGGCATTTCCCTGCAAGCTTGCGGAGATTGGGCTTGGGAGGAAACACAGGTTCCACACACTTAGGGGGAGAGAGATGGGTGGCTGTGGGTGTTGGGGGCGGGGCTTCCCCCGCTGGCCATCTGGCCGGAGGTGGGTAGAACCCCCCCAAAAACGGGGGACCCCTGGCAAACCGGGGGGTTTGGCAACCCTAACATGAGAAGTTATGGGATGCCGCTGCCGGACAGCTGGTGCCTTCTCTTACACCAAAGCGAGAATTAAGATTCGCTCATGGAAGTAGTAGTGCTGGATTTCTTCTTCTGGTCCACAGAGGTCGAGATAATCTTGGGAAAAACTTGTGCCGAGTAAGAAAAGAGCTTGGGGGGAAAGCGGGCCTTCAGCACAACAGCCAGTTTAGCTGAAGCAGAGGACAGTAAGGGACCAACAATGGCAAACATGTTAGTTTTACAAACAGGAGAGTTTCAGTTCTCTGTTCTGGATTTCTCGTTGTGTTGGTTTCCGGGCAGCAAGCTATCCCTTTAATATAGAAGTCCCAGGGTGCTGGCCGACTCACATTGAATTCCTTGATACGGCC